GTCAGTAATGTTACTTCTATGAGAGGCAGAAACCATCCCAGAAATGAAACACTTCGGTCTCTCACACCAGTTTTATACTAATTAATGTAACTGAAAATTATTGGTTAGAGGACATTCTAGTAGATGATTATTTAGTGTCAATAAATTATTCTCTATTTTTAAGACATAAACAAATACTGGAAATATCATTTCACCAATTCTCTAGACTTGAGGGTTAGGTGGGCAATCCAGCCCCTCTAAACCTCCCCTGGATTTGTTTCTGTTAGTGTTGTTTTTCACTATGTGCATTTGTTTACATCCTAAATATTTGAAGGAAGTGTGAAGCCTGTTGCACACGAGGTCATCAGTGAAGGTGGGAAACATTAGCTGCAGGACGCGTCTGACTGCCTGGAAGCCTGGACGTGCAGAGATGGTTATTCTCTCCTTGGTGCGATGGGAATGCAGGTGCTGAATGATAAGGACAGTGGCGCTAGTCCATGCTCAGCAAGTGACCCTGTGAGCAGTATGGGAGGGAGAGGACTTAATTGGAGGAGCATCATTCAGAGGCCCATTAAATCAGACTCCTGGGAATGTGGCAGAAAACTTTTAATGACTTTAGTAAAATTGTCTGCGGAAACTGCTTAAGTAGCTTCCCTTGTTAATTAGCAAGAAGTAAAACTGTACTTTGTCCTCTTGGAATAGTGGTTAATTGAAGCCTTAATAGTTAAGAAGAATTAAGGGAAATTGTCAGGGATCAATGAGAAACTTTTACTCACAAACTCAATGGGAAAAAGAAATACATGGTTTCTGTTGTGAGAATTGGCAGAAGAGTCTCAGAGCAGGGCAGTTACTTCTCTCTGAAGTATGTCAAACTAATTGCTTCTGGCTCCTGCTTGGCATTCAGTAATTACAAGTTCCATGACAAGCTTTCAACATTAAAGTATGCCCTCCTCCTGCCCTACTAGAAAGGCATAATTCCAGATGGGATAATTTAAGCTCATAAATGCAAAATATATATTTATTTCAATTCTAAATCCAAACAAATTTTCATTTCCAAGTATTATGTCTGTCATTAAATGAGGCCAGGGTTCAATCCCTGGCACCACATGCCATGCCAGCCCCACAGCCGGGCGCTCCTAGCAGGCCACCGAGACGGGGTGTGGCGGTGCATGCTTGCAATCCCAGCACTGGGGAGGCTGAAAACAGGAGGATCACTATGAGCCAAAGCTACATAGTGAGACCCTGTACAAAATACATAAAAGACTAAAAATAATTATATAAAGTATCAAATACAGTATTGCAAACTGGAAATTGTTCACGAAGTTTCAAAGTCGTGGGCCTAGGGTATGTGCGTCTGCGGAGCACTGACATGAACTGGTGTGCTGTACTTCATCACATAAATCAGACCACACGTTTATGAATTACCATGACAGAAATGTGCAATTTAGCCCCCAAAACAGTAGAACAACACCATGTAAAAATGATTTTCTTCCAAGTCTCTAACTATTGAAGTGTTATAGCAATTTGCCCATGAATTTTCATTATTGAATAGAATTAGTGTGTGTGTATTTGAATCTCCATTTTGTGAGTATTCTGCTCATGAACTGGTAAATAATTCCTAGTAAATAAAGAATATTGATTAACATTTTAGGACAATCTTATCACAACATAGTAATGCAAACAATATTATAAGAGGGTGTTTTAAAATACCTGTTGTAGTACTACCATCAGCAGCATGGTAGAGTAAGAAATTATTTGTAGGTTTTTTTTCATAAAATGCCATTGTGTAAATTAAATAATGCTTAGAAATAGTCATTGAAAGACTGAACTTATCAACTAAGAGACAACACAAAAGAGAATAAGCAGGTGAAAACAGACCATCTGAGATATCTAGGAAAAGCCAGGGAAAAGGAAGAGTCAGAGCTACGGTCCTCACGCGCACGTGGCACTGACACGATGGTTCCAGCTGCCTGTTCTGCAGATCTCAGCGCTTTAACCTCAGAGTGACCAGCACTCAGGCTTGCTGTGAGCCCCTGTAGACAGAGGCACTGCTGCCCCCCGCCCCCAGAAGGAGCCACTTGTTGCCTTCTGAGAAGTGCACCCCATTTCTGAAATCTGCACATGCACCCTGAGCTGCACCTTGGCTGTCTCCATATACCCATCCTCTGCACACCGCCTGCACCAAGCTTCACATGTGTGTGCTTCAGAACTCTTGGCTGTAGCCACTGAAGTCTGACTTTACCCTGCAGGTCAGCCAGCTTTCATTATCATTAAATACCCAGGGAAGTTATTTTAGAAGGAAATGTTAAGTTCGCTCACTGCTGTGAAGTTTCTGTCCAGTGACTTGTCTACCCCGTCATGTTGGACCCGTAGAAAGGCTGTGCATCTGGGCAGGAGCCCCAGCAGAGCAGAGCCACTTACAGCAAGTTTGGAAAGCAAATGCAGCATGGGTTTGTGCCATGGTTTTGCAGTATCATTTAAAGGCACAGCCCCCAGTGACTTCAGTGGTGCCTACTGGGCCCCCAGCTGTCAGGTTTCCACCAGCTCCTCATGTTGCCGACAAGAGCCACACCAGCAACACTTGCACTTTTGAGATGTTTTCAGAATCAAAATTGCACTACCTTGGGACCAGGAGCTGGCTGCAGATACCACATGGGCACAGTGTTATAGACCTTACAGATGTGCTGGCATAAAGCACCAAATCCCTGGTCACTGCACAGTGAGCTGCCTATACCCTGGGTGTGGAGCTACTGCCCTTCCCTGCACTATGCTTGCAGGACCTGC